GCCAAGGAAATGAAAAGGCCTTTTTGATAGAAAGACTACACTAAACCAGAACCCTTGCCCTAGCTGCAGCAATCTCCCTAGGATTCAAAAGCCAGCATGCTAAGCTACTGCCAAACAGAAATACACCTAACTTCAAGCTAACCCTTGCTTGCATCATTTCTGAATGGCGCTCAAGCAACAAAGTTTCCTAGGCAACCCCAAAAGAAGTTACCCATTTTACACAATCCTATAGTGAACAGCTTCAACATGTACTATCTGTTATGACTTGGCTGATTCTGATTGTGTAGGTCACAAGTATCAAAAAAACAAGCCACAGTTGAGAAGACAACAGGCACAACTCCATTTTTGATTAACAGATTTTTTCATCACTTGTTTTCAATTCCTATTTTAAACAATTCACACAATAACACATTTTCTATTTCAAACAGTAAAGATGCCATCACACTTGTGCAAACACTAAACAAAGCATATTGAGGCACAAAGAAGCCAGAAGGAATTCAAGTAACAGTCAGAAAGTAATTTGGAAGATGCATTTTTTTTTTTTCTAAATCATACAGGTCTTTTACACTATATTAAAAATAAATCGATTTTCCCATCCACACAAATTAAACAGCAGACTTGCCTATATATACATACCGAGTAATGAGATACCAGTTAAATTTTTGGGGTATAATTTTTCATAAAATATGACAATTTTTACAAAAACTAGTCCTTGAATGCTTGAAATCTACGTACCTACCAGATAATTTAAGATTACCTGGTACCTACCAGATTATTTAAGAGAAATTCATTTTTTTAAAAAATAAAAATATATAAGTTTCTCTATACTACCTAATGGCAGCTAAAATATAATGATAATTTTACAGTGAACTGGTCATACAAAGAAAAATATTTTAAACTGTTTCTCTAGAGATAAATTCATCTGCAAACAAACACACACAAAATATTTCATATTTTAAAGGAACTGGTGAGTAGGTTAAGAAAAATAGTGTTAGAACACTGCAGACACTCCTGCTGACATCACACTGAATAATTACAACTTTTGGTCTGTGTTACAAATGCTGTAAAAGTGTCTCTATGAAAAAAAAAAAAAGCAAGGTTCACCCCCATCCCCAAGAAATTAAAACAGTAAGCCATTTAAAAAAAAAAAAAAAAGTGTTTTAAGAGGCATTTCTTTTAGCTTGCATGATATAGCCTTTGGACTTGATAATTCCTCTGCTTTTAACAATGACTGAATACCGGAGAAGCCATAAAGGAATCCATTCATGTGCTTTCGTGTTCTGGATGCTTTCCTGAAGAACTTCTTGGAAACTTGCTTCACAAAGTAATTCTGAAGTTAAAAAGGGATATTCATGCTTTAAATAATGTCATGTAAACAGCTGCAAAAAGCGACGCTTAGTAAAAGAAGCCTTTTCCTACAGTCAAAAAAAATCTTAAGCAGTGCCAGATATTCCACAGATCCACTCTTCCAGAATGCACACAGGGTAAAAGCAGCTGAATATTACAGAAGAAATCTTCAGGACATTTTTTTTGCAACACTGAGTATTTCCCACAAAACTAATGAACTGAGACTTCTACAATATCAAATGGAGTTGATCAGCAGAGCCATTAGCAAGAAAAAATTAACATTAAATTTGAGAAGCTAGCTGGACAAACTAGAGGCGAGTAAAGCATAAGCCTGAAATCAGCAGAGTACTGAGCATTCTCAGTTACTTCCGTAGTCACTGGAAGCTCAATATTTACAGCATCTCCCATAACCGGGCTCTTGATAACCACAAGCCCAGAAAGCATTAAGAAAAACAGGCTTAAATGCCACAAAGCAGAGAAGAAAGGCCTCCTAGTTTCCTCTGGAAAGTCAGTCAAAGGAACAATCTCTTTGATGAGGAGCGTTCCCAAAAGACAGTCTCAATACTCTTCAGCTGACCATTACAGAAAAGTTAAACATAGCAAAGAATGCAGAAGGGAATCACTACTTGTTTTGTTTTCTATCCAAATCATCTTCTCCTTCATTTCACAACTCTCAATAGAGAGTATCTATTAATAGCAAGTTACACTTTGAACTTCACAGGACATGGAAATTGTCAGATTGAACGGCAATTCATCTTGTATGCTGCCAGAGCAGTGCTGATACAGGCTTAAGCATTGATGAAATTAATTGGTTCTAACAGTTGTACTATAAAGCGTGTACTTCATAAATGGTGTTTCATGTACTTCTTTTCTTTGGGGGGGAATGGGAAGAAAGGAGAAGGAAGGAAAAGTATGATCATCATGAATAGCTGGTCATAAGGAAGAATGTAGGGAAGGAACGAACTAGATATTGTTTAAGACGTCTCACAATTCCAGCAAGCTATTTAAGGTGTCATTATAGTGAAGACGCTAAGAGGGTGTTTGAGAAAAACTAATATAATATCCCAGAACACTCTAGGGAGCTGGTAACTCAGTTCTAGAGACTAAAGGAAAGCCTTCAAGTCATTCAGTCATTTAGTAAGTGAATCAATGCACAAAACAAGTAAAGAATTTACACCAACTCGTTGTAATAATGTTATTTTAAGAACTCGCTACCTTGGAAAGAATCCCACTTAAAGTGTAATAATTTTACATGTTGTCCTGGTTTCAGCTGGGGTAGAGTTAATTTAATTCCTAGTAGCTGCTGTGGTTTGGATGTAGTATGAGAATAATGCTGACAATACATATCGCTTTAGTTATTGCTAAGTAATGCTTAGACTAAATCAAGGACTTTTTCAGCTTCCCATAGAAGCTGAGAGGCAGCATAGACATGACAAGCTGGCCAAAGGAATATTCCATACTGTAGACATAATGCTTAGTTTATAAATGGGGATTGGACAGGAAGCAGGAATCCACAATCACTGCTTAGGACAGGCTCATCATGTGATGAGCAACTGTACTGCATCACTCATTTTGTACATTCTTTTATCATTATTATCTTCTCTTTCATTACAGTTCTATTAAACTGTGTTTATCTCAACCCACGAGGTTTGCTTTTTCCCCCAATTCTCCGCTATCCCACTGGGGAAGCAGCGGGGGGAGTAAGTGAATGGCTGTGTGGTCCTGGTTGCTGGTTGGGGTTAAACCACAACACATGTCTAACATTACCAAACTACTCAAAAATCAACTGACCATCAACATTTCTATGCAAGCTATTTCACAGACAAGTGGATTATCGTTTGTCATTTACTGGCCTTCAGCAATACAACTTTCATTTCATTCTATTTTTGTAGAAATAAGATTTTTTTAACATATACACTATAAACTTCTCAGTAGTTTGTTGTTCTATTTACTTTATTTTCGCTGTTTAAAACAATTTCAAGAAACTATACAAGGCTGAGAGATTGCCTTTTCCCCCCTTTCTTGAAGCAAAAGCAAAAATTTAATAGAAATATTTTATAGATGAGAAATTTTGAGAATCCTTTGTTTGGGACTCAATTGTAACTAACTTGGAACTTTGGAGAAAGATTATTCCCATTTTTGTACTGAATCAATGCATTTAGAAGTCTTCTGTTAACTTATCTGGCAAAGCCTTACCTTTTGGGTCATTGTGAGTTAACAGCTGTATGTCAAACTGTTTTGCAAATGCTGTGAGATCAGGTGGCATCACACAACAGGAAGCTAGGTTCACCTGATTACTACTTGGTTTCACCTGAAAGTAACAGAATACTTTTATAAGAAAAAATATTAATGTACTTATTTTAGTTGTTTCCCCCTATGCCTGCTATTACAACAGAAATTTTGCTTTGAACAATTTGCCTTTGACCATTGTTTAGAGGTCTGAACACAGCTAATTAATTCTGCATGATGCTGAACAGGCAACTCCTACATCTTTAATTTCCTGCAGCACAGAGTCCAAAACAAGAACAGGATCTAACTCCAGGTGCTGCCACAGCAAGATGAGTTACTAACCCATTCTGGCTCCCTGTCTGCTGTGCTCCCTAACCAGCAGCCGTTCTGTGTGTCCATCCTCCATTTCCACCCCCCCACCCCCCTC